CCACACCCCCACACCTGTCCAGACAGCCCACCGGCCCCTCCCACACCTCCACACCTGTCCAGACAGCCCACCGGCCCCTCCCACACCTCCAGACAGCCCACCAGCCCCTCCCACACCTCCACACCTGTCCAGACAGCCCACCAGCCCCTCCCACACCTCCACACCTGCCCAGACAGCCCACCGGCCCCTCTCACACCTCCACACCTGCCCAGACAGCCCACCAGCCCCTCCCACACCCCCACACCTGCCCAGACAGCCCACCAGCCCCTCCCACACCTTCACACCTGCCCAGACAGCCCACTGGCCCCCCCGACACCTCCACACCTGTCTGGACATTCCACGGGCCTCTCCACCCTCGCTTCATGCACACCCAGCCCTCCCTAGCTCATTGTGGGCCTTCACACCTGCAGAGCCATCTGCTGGAATGCCCTCCCTACAGAACACTGCACGGCTAACTCCTTCCTGAGCACCCACCCCTGTAGTCTGCAGCTTCCCAGCTTTCTCCCTTGTCTGCTGAATCTCTACCAGGTGAAACTCATTTCTCGGCTCCTGAGCTCTGGTTCACATCCTGCAGGACCAGCTCAGTGTGTATTTGGCAGGGTCTCTAAAGCGGTTCCCTGCTGCCTTCCAGGGCCTCGTGCAGGGTCAGCACCTAAGAGGTGTTCAGAAAACATTTTTGAAATGCAGAACAAAGGGGAAACCGCAAAAAGGAACAGATATGGAAAATGTATCCACTACAGCTTAGATCCAAAATGTCCCCAACTGTCTAGAGCCATACCACCCCAAATGTGCCTGATCTCATCTGAAATGTCACCCAGAAGCTCACATGTCAAAGACTCGGTTCCCCATGTAGACAGAGGTGGGACCTCTGGTAATGGTGTCACGAGGGCTCTGACCCCACCGACGGCTCGACCCATGATAAATCCACAGTTTCAATGGAAGCGATAGAAACTTAGAGGTGGTGGGGCCTGGTTGGAGGAAGATCATCAGAGATGTGCCCTTGTGGGGTGTGTCGCCCCAGATAACTTCCTCTTGGTTTCTCTCTGCTTCTGGCTACAGTGAGGGGAGTAGCAGTTTGACTAACGTGCCCCTGTTGAGATGTTGCTGTACCTCAAAATGGGCCAGAAACAATGGAGCCGAATGACCATGGACTGAAACCAGAAACCAAAGTAAACCTTCCCTCCTTCAAGCCGCTGTCGCCTGGTGTTTTGTCGTAGCAATGGAAAGCTATCTGTCACCAAGTTTATTTTTAACACTGGAGCCTGGGTCCCTGGAGCACCCCCTTCCCACAACACACACCTCCTTTTCTTACGGGGAGACACAGCCATCTCCACATAGCATGTCCATAAATAGGCAGAGTGGAAACACCATTCAAACCCCGAGGGCCCCCCTCAAAGCTCCTCTGACACCTGCTCAGACCTGCAAAGAAAGGTTTCCTAGTTAGCATCACCTTCCCTGACCCTGCAGGCATCCCAGCCCAGCTGCTTCAGGGCAGCACCCCAGAGTGGTGGGGTGCCCTTTCCCCCTCAAAGATGGCTGTGAGAAATGTCTAGGAATGCACAAAGCAGGGTGTAGAGCGAGCCTTCTCGAGTTGGAGTGAGAAGAGAAATGGCCACTTGTTCAGGAGGGGGCCCCTCAAACTGAGGACAGGGCCGGGAATGTGTGGAGAAGCTGAAGGTCTTTGGCCGGGGCCTCTAGCCTTACCTTGCAGATTCAACTCTGCCCTGGCGTGTCAAGCTGATTGGCCATCATCCAGGACCTTACCTGAGGACAAGAGGCTCCAGATTTCACCAGTTACCACAAAGAGAACTCAGGCCCGAACTAAGAGACAGGGCACCTAGGACACCCAGCAAACTGTTCTGGAACAGAGGCCGGGCATTTTGTCCTCTTAGCCAGGGACACACTGTGGGCCTGGAACTGCAAGGCAGCTGCCGTCAGACCCAGGTGAGAGATGCATTGGTCTGGTGTGACCTGGCGACCTTGCCTCACCCGGCCAAGCCTCTGTGCTGACCCCATTGGTCCTGTATGCAAACCTGGACTCTAGAAGATTTTAGAAGACTTGGCATCAGACCTCAAATCAATCCGCTGTCAGTCTCCAAGTCCCATGATTGTCCCCACCTGGACCTGTCAGACACTTCAGAGTCACAGCAGACAAGAGCAGAATCCCAGCCCTGCCTCCAAGTGAGGTGACTGGGTACCTGTCTCTGACACCAAGCAGAGGTGGAAGGACCAGAGGACCCATCCATCAAGACTCAGACACTCCAATGCTTCCAGTTTTAGAATCCAAATGCTGCCAAAAATGCACAATGAAGAACATGTCGAGATTTTACATAAAATCAAATCTGACTTTGACTTCCCCGACACTTGCTCCCATCCTGTCCCGATGCCCTAGTGTACCCAGGTGACACACTGTTATGTAGCCAGAGCTGTCTCCATGAGGGCACAGCATCCGTTCGCATCCTTCTAGAAGGATCAGCGGAGCAGCACCTCTGTGCAGTCCACACTGGGAACCAAGGCCTGGTCTTTGTGAGGTTCACACGGTGATAGGGAGAGAAATCATCACTATGAGAATTTGGCAGAAAAGAAGCTGACCATTGGTGATGCCGGTGACTTCACAGAGCGCCAGGGTCGGGGGAGGCAGAACACAGCCCCTTAACTTGTGTAGTCTGTAACCCTGACTTCCAGAGACTGGAGCAGAGGCATTGTCTATCCAGTGCCTGCCTGGGCTCCAGGAGCACCTCCAAGACCAACCTGGGAACACTCTGTAAGATTCTGTCGCAAAGTGCAAAGAGGGTGGGGGTAGTATCTCAGCATTCCTGAGGCCCCAGGATTTAGCTTTAATACCTCAAAAAAGTATTTTTAGATGTGTGTTCAGAGAAGGACTCACAGAGGAGGTGGCAAGAAATACAGACAGCAACAATTCAAGCCGGGAGAAGGGTGGGGGTCATTTCACCAGTCTAGAAGAGGGTTGAGGGCAGACACACACACACACACACACACACACACACACACACACACACTGCTGGGCCTCCTCGGGTGCCACCTTATACAGGCATCAGGGCCTGGCCCCTGACTTCCTCCTACAAAAAGGCCTAGCATCCCTCTCTCTGCATGCTGCCCCCATTTCTCACTATCTTCCCTCTTGCCTCTTCAGGTGTCCTGCCTGCTTCTGTCACCCTCTCCCAGGTCCACCCCATCACCTTCCAGCTGAGGTGTTGCAGGCACCACCTCCCTGGCCTCCCTGTTTCCTCCTTCCTGTCCTCAGCCCTGCAATCCAGGGACCCTGTCAGGTCTCTCACATCTGCTCAGAGCCCAGCCCTGCTTGGCACGCCCACCCCTGCCTGTGATACACACACACACACACACACACACGCACTCACACATGCAAACACGCACATATACCCCATCTCTGGTCACTCCTGCCCCTGTCTGTGACACACACACACACGCACGCATGCACATATACACACACACCCCATCTCTGGGCACTCCCGCCCCTGCCTGTGACACACACACACACACACACACACACACACACACGCCGTTTCTGGACATTTCTTCCATTTTGGTTACACCAGCTGCTTCTCTAGTCACCAAAGACCAAGCACAGTCGCCACTTCCTGGGTCTCAGCCCCCAGAGACAGTCATTTTCAAATCCACCTCCAGAGCCCTGACCCAACCACTTCCTGGGTGGGGTACCCACCCCAGCACACAGCTCCTGTGCCATTAGAACCAGGCACCAGGTGGTTAGGGACAGTCCCTCTGACCCAGAGACTGCTGAGATTCCTCAAGCAAATCAGTCCCACGTCTGCCCACCTGCCCTTCCTCATCTGGTCCTCACACAGATACGACAGGGAAAGCCCCTGACTGGGCCTCCTGACCGCTGGCATCTCTGCCCTTCCCCTGGAGGATCATGCTACTCTCCAGTGACACGCTCTCTACCCATGACATGTTGACATGCTGTCCTCACATGCCTGTACTCATATATTTCATGGCAGAACCCATGGCCTCACACATGCTAGACAGGGGCTCTACCCCAAGCTTCACTTCCGGGGTGGGCTTTGAACTTGTGATCCCCCTGCCTCAGCCTCCAGCGACCCTAGGATTACAGGCCTATATGACCAGGCCCGGCTTAAGCTTGGATTTTAAACACCTCCTTACCCATCTCTAAAAAGTCATGCTACCAAATAATATATTGCACAGTTGTTTATTTGTGACCTTTCTGTCCCCATTTATGTTCAACCCCTTGAAGACAGGGAGTTTCCCAGAAGCACCTTGTGTGAAACAGAGCCAGGCCCAAAAGCACCGGCAAAAAGAGGCCCAAAAGATACCTGTGCAAACAACCTCTGCCAAGTCACCCGGGATCCTGCTTGGAGACGAATTCCACCCCACGAGGGTCACTGTTCTTCAACTGCCTTTTATATCCAGTCAAAATGGATGAGCAGATGTTGCGGAGCTCGTGTCCCACCAAGTTTCTAACTTGCTTTTCAGAAAAGAACAGTGTTTACCTAAATGACAAGTAAATGTCCGGACTTGGCTGGAAATAGATTTAAAGTCACCAACTAGCCCTGCTTAAAAAAAAAAATAAGAAAAGGAGGGGAGGGTAGAGGTGGAAATGGGGGAGAGGAGAGAACAGAAGGGGGGAGAGAAGGAGGAGGGGAGCGGGGACTAGCTCCGGAGGTCAGGTGTCTTTGCAGCTCGTACTGTGTCACTCACTCCTGTTCAGTACACACGGGGCCGAGAGAGGAACGCCTGTCCTCAGTGACAAGTCAGGCTAATAGGTGACTTGAGCTTATCCAGAGAGAACGCAGTATAAGGGAATGACACCCGTGGAGTGATGACCCCCCACCAAGGCACCTGGGGACAGAATTCTAGGGGAGAGAGACCCATGAGAATGCAGCCAGGCTTCCATCCTCTGGCCTCAGCTGGTGCAGAGCTCCCAGGGAGGGCTTTCATTTCACAGAGAAATAAAGTGGAGGGGGCA